AAGTGCCCTGGGTACGGATCACCTCCAGCTCACACAGCTGCCAAAAACGAGGCTGGGCCCCCCCTCCCCCACCCCATCACAATAACTAGAAATCAGCCAGGTGTCTCGCAGAGCTTCTTGGGAAGCAGGTTGCTCTTTTAGGCCAGTGGATGCACAGAGAAAGGGCAGAGGCCACCCATCCTCCTAAGGCAGACGTGGGTGCCATTTCCTTCAAATCTTGGGGTGCAGGAGGCAAGCCAGTGGGTGCACGGGAGGGGTGTGGGGGAAGAGGGTACCAGGGTGCTGTTGGAGCCGCCACCGCTGGGATAGAGTGGGGGGCCTAGGGCCCGGGGAAGGGTCACAGGAGCAGGTTCCAGCTCCTTCCCAGCTGGGGATCCGTGAGAACAAGATCCCGTCCATGTGTTCATTGTTCTCTGCACACCCCTGTCCATTCCACCCACAAAGGGGACAGGCGCCGGGACAAAAGGATCAAGTCCAAGGACACCTGAGTGATGTTAGAGCTAGAAGGTAGAACGCTTGGTAGAATGTCAGGAGAGTTAAGAGCTGAGATTTCCAAGTTAGTGTGTCTTTTCTCTTAGTGTGAAGTCTCTGGGTTGCTGCTTTCTTTCTCGAAGCAGCAGGTGTGGATAGGAGGGCCTGTCGCTGCCCCCTGCTCGGGAAGGACCCATCTTAGGCTTTCTGGGGTAGGTGCCAAGGGGACCTCTGGACCTGCTTTTAGAATGGGCCTTAGGTTAGAGGCATTGGGGTCTGCTGAGCCCACCATCATCTGGCTCCAACCACGAAAGCCATTCCTCAACATTGGGATTTGTGGCCAGAAATTTATGGCAATAGTGACATTTCCCTGGACTTGTTCTCTGAGTATATGGTTGACAAATTCAACAAACATTTATCAGCTATGCACCGCGACAGAGCCTTTGCCCTCATACAGCCTCCTGTGTTCTAGTAGGGGACAGAGAGTGAACTAGTAAGTATGTCCCCTGAGGTCCTGTGGTGACAACATAGTAGGGGAGAGTGGGCTATTGTATAGAATGGTCGTAAAAGATCTCTCTGCAGAGGTGATATATGAGCAGAGACCTATGTCAAATGAGGAAGGAGGCCACATAAATATCTGAAGGAAGGGTTTTTAGGGAAGTGGAACAGCAATTACAAAGGCCTAGAGGCAGGAACAAGTTTGCAAGCTCCCAGAAGGCCAGGGAGGCCATACTGCCGGGTAGGGAGAGTAGGGGAGGTGGGGGAGGTAGCTGGGAACTAGGACATCTTCTGGTGTCCCCCAAGCCCAGCACACGTTTCCCCCGAAACCCTGTGATCCAGTAGGCAGTTGGATCTGGGTCTCAGCTAAATATCTGGATGTGACCAACAGTGGCTTGGAAGAATCAGCACAGCCTTCCAAACTTCTTATCTCAGTTCTAATAGAGAAAGAGAACCCGGCCTGCCAACACTCGGAACCGCTTTGTCTCTGAGCTTTCCACCACTCACCTTACGCTCACACGGTCCCCAAGGGGAGGTAAGATTTATCGTCCCCATTAAAGAGCCAGCCAGCGAGCTCCTGACGCACACTCCAGTGCAGGCCTGGCTGGGCGGCAGGGACGCCCTCCGCCAGCCTGGGGACACTCGCTCGTTCTTGTGCTACATAGTCTCATCCCGCTCAAACCCAGAAAGCCTGCCTATTTTTTTAATTATAAGTATTTTTTTCTTTTTTTTTTTCTTTTGGCATATTATGGGAGTACAAATTTTAAGGTTTCAATAAATGCCCTTTCGCCCCCCTCCCCCTATAAGTATTTTATAACTACAAAATCCCTTTTTTGTTTGCACACATTTTAAAGCCAAGCAAAATCATGTCACCTGTCTGAATTTCCCTCATATTAAAAAAAAAAAAATAGAGAAATTACTCTTCCATCAACCTTGAGTTTTTCATTTAGTATAAAATAAAAATCATGGGGGGGTGGTTAATATGTATTACCCTTAAACAGAAATATGAGTTAGTCCTAATTGAGCATGGAAGTCTATCAAGGGTCTATTGTTATTTTTCCCAAATCAGGGAAGGGGGGGTTAGGGGTCATTAGCTTATTTCCAGACATTCTGTCGATGCACAACTGATCCTTGCGAGTCTTAGTAGTAGTGTGTAATAATTACAGTCTTATTACTCAGGGACAGATCTGAATCCTCGCAGCTCCTACTTTGTGTTCAGCATTTTGCCTGATGGACAGAGCGATCCACCCGTCCCCACGTTGGCGCAGGATGCCACATCTGAAGGCCACCCGCACCACAGGTCCCTGGCGCCCTCCACCTGTGTCCAGGCCTCCTGAGTCCTCTTCAGACACCTGCCTTCCGGGGTCCTCAGCCGGCGGGAGCCTGTCCCGTCCTCGGTTCACCAACAGGTGTCTCCATTAAATGTGGCGCCGTGATTGAAAATGAGAGGCGCCACTCACGCTGTCCGCCTCGCTTCTTGCTCGTTAGGCAGCCGGTTTTGTTTTTCCCTCTCAAGTTCCTTCCTCTCCACGGGTGCCTTGCTGTTCGGGCAACATTTAGCTATTTTTCGTCTCCCTCTCCTGCAAATGTAAACAGACTCAATGCTCGCCGCCTCATTTCTTTTTCATGCCTCATCTCACCTTTGTTCCCCATCTTTAAGCTTTCCATTTGGGGACGCGTTCCTCTTCAAATCGCTGGCATTTGGTGCTGTGATCAATTATCCTGGGTGATTGCTCTTCATTTAAGGAGCCCTATTCTCTCTCATTAAGGACCAGACGGGAACACGTCCTTGTCGCTGACCAGGTGCTCCGGATCTCTTACTTGGCCCACACTTGCCATTTGGCAGTTTAGTGCCTAAGAGCTCGTTCATCCAGGGAAGGGCATCATTTGAGTGGCTTGAGTTCCCTTCGCTCGCTGGGGGCAGCTGCTCCTCTGTCTTGTCATCCCCCCTCCCCCTGCAAGACTCTGCTAAATACACAAGCGAGATCCCTTTTTTTGACACGAGAGTCATGCATCTTTACCCACCCGGCCTAATTAAGCTTTCTCCTCTGGCTCCCAGGTATCTTGGTAACGATCGTCCACTTTGTCATTCTCAGGTTGTAAAATGAAGCTAATGGCCCTTCCTCGTGATGTCTAGCAGCACTGGGCTTTTTCAGCTCCTCTGTTCAATGTCCCCTTGATTGGTTAACATTATTTGCTGCTGTGATAAATGTGATTTCTTCTTGCTTATTAGACATACACCCTAAAAATATGTGTGTTAAGAGTTCCTGGGCTGGATGTGCATATTTAAGAATGCAGATGAGTCAGAAGTGGCATTGGAGGAGAGAGTACCCTCTTTGGAACCCCAACTTAAAATTCCAGTCAGCAGCCCTTTGGAGATGTAAATTGAGGAAGCCGCTCTCCTTTTGGACAGCTTAATGATCTGTAGTTAATAGTAAGAGGCCGATGCTGGCTGCAGCACCGCTGGGCTTGGTCAGCCTTCCTCAGCCCTCCAAATGGCACAGTGATTACGACCATTGAGACACACAGCCCTACCCAGAATCAATAACCAAAAGCAAAACAAAGAGTTGGCAATGGCTTGCCCGTGTGGCCTTTTCTCTGCACACAGACAAGTCGTTCTGCCCCTGCCAGGAACTGCTGCCTCCTCCCAAAGTCTGCTTTGGGCTGGGCAGTTGCCTGCCCGACAGACAGCCCCTCCATCGCTGGGATGAAAAGTGCTAAATTTAGGGCCAACTCCTCCTCCAACTTCCTGAGTGCACACAATTTCATTGAGCTTAGGAGAAACTGAGTGTAATCTCTCGGTAGCAAAATGCAAGTCTGGAAACTATATAATACTTATACTTCGTGCTGGAAGTGGCTGATTACATGAGTTGGTTACTTATGACTTGATGTCAAATTGGCTTTGGCTTACTGTGTGCTGAGGTATTAGATCCACTTACAATTTCCAACATCTCGTTATCTTCCTTCAAAAGGCCCAAGTGAATTCAACAGCAATAACAAAAATAACCCTATTCAAAAATTGGCAGAGGACTTGAATAGAATGTATCCAAAGAAGATATATAAATGCCCAATAAGCACATGAAAAGCAAGATGTTGAACATCTAATCATTAGGAAAATGCAAATCAAAAGCAAAATGAGTTACCATCTGACATCCACTAGGGTGACTATTATCAAAAAGCAGAAAATTACAAATGTTGGTGAAGATGTGGAGAAATTGGAGCCCTGTTGCACTGCAGATAGGAATGTAAAATGGTGCAGCCACTATGGAAAAAAGCATGGAGGTTCCTTAAAAAGTTAGAAATAGAAATGTTATGTGATCCAGTAATTCCACCTCTAGGTATCTACTCAAAATAATTGAAAGCCAGTCTTAAAGAAGCGATTGTACTCCCATGTTTCATAGCAGCATGAGTGACAATAGCCAAAAAGTGGAAGGGAAGCAACCCAAGCATCCATCAATGGATAAATGGATAAACAAAAGGTAGTCTGTACAAACAGCAGAATATTAGTCAGTCTTAAAAAGGAAGGGATTTCTGAAACATGCTACAACATGAAAGAACCTTTAGGACATTGTGCTACATGAAACACAACACTTATGAGCGTCAAACACTGTATGACACCACTTACACAAAGTACCCAGAGTAGTCAAATTCACAGAGACAGAAAGTAGAATGGTGGTTGCCAGGTCTGATGGAGGGAGGAATTAGGAGTTGTTTAATGGGTACAGAGTTTCAGTTTTGCAGGATGAAAAGAGTTCTGGGGATGAATGGAGGTGGTGGCTGTACAACAAACTCGGTGTACTTAAGGCCACTGAACTGTACACTTAAAAATGGTTAAGAAGGCATTTACATTACATGTTTCAGTACAATTTTTTAAAAAAGGCACAAGTGAAGGATGCCATCTTCCCTTAGCGGCCCAGGCTTTGGAGGAACAGACTAGAAATAAAGGGAGAAAGGAAAAAGAAAAAAGCCAAGGGAATGGATCTTGTCTTCACATGGAACTCATTTCAAATATGCTTTCTTTTCTTTTACAGAGTCATTTTTCTCTCAAGAAGGGAGCCGCAGCCCTGGGGATTGGGACAGACAGCGTGATCCTGATTAAATGTGATGAGAGGTGAGCACGCATCTGCAACCCTCTTGGTTCGCAATTTGCAAGTTCCACCATGAATACCTGTTGGTGTGAAAACAGGAGCTGATTGTGGGGCAGCAGGCCACTGCCGGCCGCTGTTCCTTTTTAGCATGGGCTCTTGCTTGGAGCCCTTGGACGTTGCTCCTCAGTGCCATGGAGCCTCCCACAGCCCTGGACTCAGTGAGAACCTTTGTTACATCAATCAAAATAGTCTGCACCAAGGAGGTGCAGAAGGACATTCATCACCCGGGCACCTTAGCAGCGGTGGGCAATTTGAACCCTGATTGATGGGGGTAGCATCACTCTCGGGACCATGGGTTGCACAACTTGATGAGGCGATTACAGGACAGGGTGCAGTTTAGCGAGCAGGAGTGAATAACGCACCAGTAACGCAACAACTTTGTGCTGGAACCGAAGGATTCCTGGGGAAAATCCCTGTCTTAATCAGCACCTGAACTCCACAGGCTCTCTGGGATCTGGGCTGCTGCTTTGGGAGATTTTAAAGTATTTTTAGGGTACCCATGTAAAGTATCTCTGGCCTGTAGGCCTGGAACCTAGTAAAAACTAGATTCAGTCTTCAAAGGTTTGGGTAACACCTTTCACTAAATTATAAGGAAGCCACTCAATCATTTATTTATTCGTACGTATTTATTAGGTAGATGTGTACTGACTGGTCAGCGTGTCACTAGGCTCTAGAGAAGCGTAGTACATGATCCCAGATCCCTGGCAACGTGTGATCTACATGGGAAGATGCAGTAGTGTCCAGAGGGACGGTTACATGGTTGGATTGCGCGACACAGGGTGCACGCGTGTACACTGGAAGCCATGGAAAGCTTCCTGCAACAGGCGGGACTACAGCTGGGTTTTTTAAATTAGGAGTGAGCTGGATGGGTGCAGGGAAAGGCAGGGGCACTTACGGAAGGTTCCACAGCAGCTGTGAGAATCTAATGCTGCAGCTGATCTGGCAGGAGGCGGAGCTCAGGCGGTGACGCCAGCGATGGGGAGCGGCTGCAAATACAGATGAAGCTTTGCTCACTGGCCCACTGCTCACCTCCTGCTGTGCAGCTGGTTTCTAACAGGCCACTGACCGGTTCCAGTCCGCAGCCTGGGCATTGGGGGCTGCAAATTTAAATGAAATTGAAGTGTCTGGGGTCAGAGGCCCAGGAAAAGGCCTTGGACAATCATTTATAGTCACCACTCCCATCAGAATCAGCTAAAATGCTCTCAGCTGTGTTTGTTTTTATTGCGACGTCCTTGTGAAAGTCAGACCTGTAGTTCAGAAAATCACTGAAGGCTGACAGTGTGAGTCCTGCACGCTGGTTTCTCCTAGCTGTGCTTTGTGAAGTTTGTCCAGGCTTCCCCCAAACACAAGCCTGGACCTGCTCTCAAGGCTTGCCTTTCCCTTTCCTTCCTACCGCACGTCAGTCTGCCAGCGGCTGGGGGTGGTTTTATTGTGTCGGCAGACAGTTGAATTAGCTGAAGGCTCATGATTGAGGGGAAATGTCTCAGTAAGAGAGACAGTCTGTGCCTTTCTAGCTATGACCCAAAGCCACGCCTGGAGGAAGACCTCGGTGAGGTGACTTCTTTTCATCGGCAGTCACAGGGGCTTACTCCGGTGACCAGTTCAAAGTGAAACGTGGTTCTCAGTCAAAAAAATAATAATAATAATAAGGAGAGAGAGAGAGAGACGTATAGGAAATCTTTATTTGTTTGGATTAGGTTCTCTCAGAGTTGAAAATCAAAAAGCATTTTAATTTATTCTAGTAAGTAGAATATGATGAGGTAATGCAAAATTTGAGTTCTCCGTGGCTTACATTTTAATGTGAAGTATCATGACCAAAAAGGAGTAGTCTATTTTGTAAAAATGAGTTATTAAATTCACAAGAGGGAAATGTGTTGAATGAAGCCTTTATTTCGTTTCTAGTTTAAGAGTTCCCTTTCCTCGTTAACGGAAAGTTGAATATTCACAGTGATGGGATTAGTGAATTTTTATTCAAGTGTCATTGGGTCTAACATTTGCAAGATCTGGATTAGTGGCATCCAGATTAATGCTGTGTGGATATGTCTAAGGATAGAGAAGAAAAGTGAATTAATATTTAGAATAAAATAAGTATTTATGAAAGAAGACTGCGATGTTTCAGAATTGGATTAGGCCACTGAACAAAAAAGATGTTTACCAAATATTCAGTCAAGAGAAGAGGAGAGGAAGTTTCTATCGTATGCGTGATAATTTGGAAGCGTCTCAAGTTCCCACATGATGGAAGCAGGAGCCCTGTGAGCTACTCCATTTGGCATGAGCAGTAGCCTTGATTGGTAACCCAGTGGCAGGTGCGGTGGACGTTGTCACAGATGCTACAAAACTTAGTCTGCTGTGAAAGAAGCAAAAACGTGTCAGGAAGGTGAACACGATGATAAGATACTATGGGAGGACAGGCTGCCATTCTCATCTGGAGGAAGGACTACGGGAGTTAGCCACATGAACAGGAAAGGAAACAATGTGCTGGGGAGAGGCCGCAGCACTTTCTAAATGGTGGATGGGAGAACTTCAGGGGAGGATGTGGTCAGAATATCCTCGGCATGAAGGGCCTTGTGCGCCAGGTGAAGCGGTTTGAACTTGAGGCGGAAGGCGTGGGGGGCACTGTTTTGAGCAGGGAAGCCACATCGTGGTTTTACGTTAGAAAGATTATTTTCAGTGCAGAGGGGATGGGGTTCGAGACTGCGAGCTGGTGGCTGTTGTAGTGACAGGAATGAGGGGTGACACGTGGGGGGCTGACGGGACGCAGGCCCTGGCCGTGAGAGGGATGTGGAGCCGATAGAAATGCTGGCTGGCGGGCGGGGAGGTGGAGGCAGGAGGCCACACGAGTGGGGCTCTTCGTGAGACACAGCACCGCGGCTGCGCTGAGACGCTGAGTGAAGATGAGGAGACGCTGAGGGAAGATGTGAAGATGTTGAGGGAAGACGCTGAGGGAAGATGAGGAGATGTTGAGGGAAGACGCTGAGGAAGATGAGATGTTGAGGGAAGACGCTGAGGGAAGATGAGGAGATGTTGAGGGAAGATGAGGAGACGCTGAGGGAAGAGCTGTGAGACGCCCTGACGAGGGAGGGCGTCATGTAGGCAGTTGGGAACATGGGCCTGGGGCGCAGGGGAAGCCACGCGTGAGTGGGCCTGGGGACGGGCTCTGCGGGCACCGCACCTCGGACCGGCAGAGCAGGAGGAGCCGCCGAGGAGGCTGAGGAGGGGCCGGAGCTGTGGGAGGAGGACGTAGGGCACGCGGTGTGTCTCGGGGAGGAGCGGTCAACAGGACCAATGCCGGCCGTGGAGGAGACGAGGCCCGCCACTGCCCCTCGGCTCCACTGACGAGGAGGTGGCCGCTGAGCGTGGCAAGAGCAGCTTCAATGAGGGGAGAGTGGCAGACAAGAAAAGGGAGCACCAACACAGGCGACAGGGAGGTTGAGGTGAAGGGAGGCGGTGGGGCCGCCTGAGGGAGCGCTGCGTCCCGCCAGTGACTTCCGGTTTCACTGCGAGGCGGGCGGGGGACCTCTGGAGAGGAAATGCGAATTCTGTGGGGAAAAAGAAGGGATGAAATAGATGGCAGAGGTTTCATTTCCCTCGTGAGTTCCTTGTTCTTTTGGCCAAGACTGTAGGGTGTTCCTCTGAGGCGCGCAGGAACTGTGGCACTGTCTCGCGGGGAGAGAGGGGACAGTGGCGAAGGCGGGAGGTCTGGGGACGAGCCCGGCTGAGCCTCCCCAGGACAGGCTGCCCACCGGGTCCAAGTCAGACGCCCCTGGACTGGGGAAGGTTCTTAGACGTTAACTCGTTCAACTTTTTTTTTTTTTACATTGTATTTTTTAAATAATTTCAAACTTAAACATTGCAAGATCAGTAAAAAGAACTCTCATATATCCTACACCTAAATTCACCAGTCGTGAACATTATGACACGTTTGCTTTCTCTTTCTCTCCAGATATACTGTATATAAAGTTCAATATTACATATCAAATGTAACAAATAGTAGGTATGTTAATTATAGATATAATTTTTTCTGGGCCATTTGAAAGTTCATGATGCTTTTACATCTTAAGCCCTCAATGTGTATTTCATAAGAAGAAGGATATTCACAATCATGGAACAATTATCAAAATCAGGAAATTTGACACCGATACAATACACTTAATAACTCTACGTGCCTTATTCAAGTTGGGCCAACTGTCCCGGTGATATCCATTACAGCTATTTGTTTCCCAGTCCAGGATCACACGTGGCGTTTAATCGTCACCACGTCTTTTTAGCCAGCCTTTGTCTGTTATGAGGTTGGTCTTTGTGAACCATGTAGACCATTTATTTTATAGCTAATCTGGATCTGCCTGATAATTTTCTTGTGATTAGATTCCAGTGATGCGTGTGGAGCAGGACCTGGGGGAGGCTGGCCCTCCTCGAGTGCATCTCGTCCCAAAATGAGATTGCCGGTAGTGTTAACTTTCACCATCTTCCCAGGTTTCTCCACTATAAAATGACTATTTGTCTCCTTTGCAGCTAATGTGTGTCTTGTAGGGGATGCTTTGAGACTATATAAATATCCTGTTGCTCCTGAAATGTTCACCCACTAGTTTAACATCCATTGATGAATTCTGCCTGAATTATTGTTACGATGGTTGCAGAATAGTGATTTTCTAGCACCACCCTTCCGTCTTTATTTGTTAGTTCTTTCATTCTACTGCAGGGTAGAGCTCTCCTTATCTTTTTGTCTTTTTTTTTCTTTTTCTTTTCTCTCTCTCTCTCTCTTATTGTCAGTATAGACTCAAGGGTGTTTTTAGAAATTAATACTCTCTTCCATCTTTGCTTCTCTTTCTGCTACCTTCAGGGTTCCCTTTACATTATCTAAATTAGCAGTCATTTGTTGTAAAACCTTACAGAAAATAAATCTGACCAAGACCCATGCTACCCGGTGGCAGAGGACTAGAAGAATCACTGGCTTTTCTAGCTC